TCATAAATAGGGTAGGGAATATCGCAGATTTTGGTCATAAATAGGGTAAGGGTTTTGAGAAGCGGGCCGCACACCCCCACCCAACTTTTCTGGGAATACTCCCCCCCCCCCTCCCGGGGCCTCATCTATTTTAATATTATCCATAGAAAAAAAACATAGACAGTAATTTTTTAACCACTGTTGCTGTAAACCGTCTCGTGATGGTGTAAACTGTTCATGTCTAAAAGCGGCAGGAGAGCAACATAACAACCGAATCCAGTTCACTTTATTTTTTGTAACATGTGGATTCCTTTGAGACAGAATTCAGCACTCGCATACATTGCTTTGTTTTCGCAGATGTTTAACCTGTACATCAAACAAGCCGCGGAGATTTTCGGTGTCACTCACACGCGTGAAATCTACGAGAAAGCTATTGAAGTGCTGCCAGACGAGCAAGCTAGGTGAGCTGTTTATTACTGATGAGAAAATAAAGTAATGAAATTTACCTTGCGAGTGATCACTTTTAAATGCGGAATCGAAACTGCCATTAAAGTTACGGCTTCAGTATTTTAGCTCTGTAAAAGATATACATTTCTGTGTGTTCTTTATTGTTCAATTGTTGAGCAATTTAGCCTAGAATTTGGAGAATTTGGGGACTCGTATCTCATTTTATTGAATAGTATGCTATAGTAAACTGCTATGTTTAATTTTTTTTTTGTTCTATTCCAGAGAGATGTGTATAAGGTTTGCTGATCTTGAGCGTAAACTGGGCGAGATTGACCGAGCGAGAGCTGTGTACATGCACGCTTCACAAATGGCTGATCCGCGGGTTTGTTCTTATTTCTTATCTTTTTCACGCACTTCCTGCTCTCAGAGAACTGGGAACTAACGCAAACAGTGGGAGTAACAGTCGCTGTGGAAGCCCTTATTTGAATTGTCACGCAACGCTAGGAGTACTAGCCTAAAACGGCCTAACCTCCTGTGCAGACGCTCTTTGTTCTCGTCACACAAGAAGATTCCGTGACGAACCCAGAGCGTTATCGTAGGAGGTTAAGGTCATTCCCCAGTATTGCATTGTGCATCCCTACTGCGCATAATTTCACACGTGATTAGCGCGCGCGCATTAAAAATGGCGGCTTTTTCTTTACGGCTGGACCTCGCCATAGAGGTAAATCGTCATTTTCTCGCAAACGAGTATGGTGACCTATCATTTTTTTCTGTTGTTTCGAATTGAGTAATAAATTTCTCTGTGTAAAATAAATATGGACCAATTCTTAGTGTAGAACAAAAAACAATCGTCGGAAACGTGAATTTAGCAAGCAATTGTGCTACAATCATGATGCTGTTATAAGGATTTATTGGGTATAAACAAGGTGCTGTTGCTCCTAAACGAACATGGGAATCCCTCATTTTTATTTCAAAATTTAAGTTCCTCTAATACAAACAATCAATAGGCAAACTCTCACAAAAATCTCAGTGCAGGTTCTGTTTCAGTGGAATGACCTTAATGACGGCTGCGAAGGAGACTCATATCTCTGGTTTATCTTTCCTCAACTCTCTCTTGTCTTCTCCATTGTGGTCCTGTGAGCAGATCGATACAAGGCACTTCTAGGACAAGTCGACCCAAATGAAACTACTTTTTTACTTTACTATCCCCGCGAGTCATATTGCTTTACTCTCATTTTCAGACCACTCCAACATTCTGGAAAGAATGGCATGACTTTGAGGTTCGGCATGGAAACGAGGATACATTCCGAGAAATGTTGCGCATCAAAAGAAGCGTACAGGCTCAGTTCAACACGCAGGTGAGTAAAGTAAAGTTCATATGTCCTTACAAGAACATCCCACAATCAAAAACAATTTTTTGCCGCTTTGTAAAATCTGTTAGATCTACACGGTCTTTAGTCTTTCTTTCGTACGCCCCAAAATTTATGATTAAGATTTAGTTATGAATTAGGTAACTCTACAGTAAGTGATGTAATAATAGTAGTAATATCTCTGGTTAGTTGTTTGACACAGATGTCTGCAGAGCTGTGTGTGACATTTCTGGAGCGAAAGAGAGAAGACAGCTCTACTATCTTGCTGGATATCGTTAATTTTACCGAATGTTACTGTTACAGGTCAACTTTATGTCCGCACAAATGTTGGCAGCGGCTGCTAGCAAATCCGCTGGAGCAGGTGAGTAACTTTACTGATGTGTCTCTGTTGTGATTCACACGTGGTCAACTCCCAACATCACGATAAAGAATTTGTCCTCATTCCTCTGTAGTTTGCTAATCAAATGAGGGCGTCCTTTCTTGTAAAGAGACTCATTTTTTACAAACTCGGATCCAGTCCCATATGATGTGAAAGGCTGATACAGGCAGCGGTCTGGGTACTAATTTATGTCTGGTTACTTTGTCAAGGAACTGATGAGCCTGTCACTGATGATATGCAGCGTCTTGAACAGCAGGCTCAAGCGGTGGCGACGAGCAAAGACGTGAGCGCTAAGTTAAAAGAGAAAGTCTTGTTTGTCAGGTAAGGAAACACTCACATATACTTTTACACGTCCTGGAATGACATACGTTTTGGCAAAGACTCTATCACCTTCATGATTCGACTGAGCAGTTACCGCGTTTCTTTACTCACCAGGGGTGAAACTAGTCACGAAGACACTGAAGATACAGAACAAGTGGCAAACCCAGAGGAGATCGACATTGATGAAGATGAAGATGAGGATGATAATGAACAGGGTACATAGTCTGCCGGCTTTATTTTATAATCACATTATCAGTAATTAATCCGACCGTCAATTATGTTGGTTTTTTTTAATTTATTCCATTCTAAAATTACAAGTAAGCAAACAAGTAAGAGGAGAAATGGAAAAGGGCAAAAGTACAGCAAGCTAATTAGATGCCCTTGTTTAATTGACAATAATAATTAGGGTAAAAAAGTTAACTTAACATAGGAGAGGAAGAGGTATGAATTAATTAATACTGAGTTAATTTATACTAAGTTAATTATTGTTCAACATTTTAATTGCATATTTTAATCAAAGCTGGCGTTGACTTGCATTATAAATCACCATAATGGATGACAAGGAAGCGCGGAAGTGGTAGTTTTATCGTTGGCTAATTTTTCGTCTCATTAATGATTTAAGTTCAGTGTGAGGGATACGACAACTGAACGGCGGCATCGGTGTTACCTGGATACTTTGTAGTAAGATAGCTGAGAACTGTCTGTTTGGGGGGTGACTGTGAGCTAAGTTTGATTCATTCACGAAGTAAGAGGGAGTCACGCCCGAGGAGGAAGGGGGAGTGAGTACGCACCACTTAGCGATTGTTACACGAAAGGATGAGCGACAGCTATCTGCAGGGTAGGGGAGAGTTACCGCTCGATATTCCCACAACACTGTTCTTCTATGAAGCCTTCGTGTTAAAAAAGGATTTGATATTTAGGATTGACATGAGTTGCGTTCAATGCTCGTTGTTTATTTTCATTTACTGTCTCTCCTCAGAAGTTCAAGTTGAGCAACAATCGGTTCCAAGCAAGGTTTGTACTCACAACTGAGTCATTCACGTGGAAATGTTTATCAGTTTACTGTTGGTCTATCAGATCCATGTTTTAAATGTAGTAATTCTCCTAACAGGAGAAAGATTTCGCTGACGTGAGATTTTGCTTATACATACGTATTTTCTTGGTTAATAATACACATGAAAAAATTACTCGATTCTGATTGGCTAAGAGCAGTGCAGTTCAAGTGTAACACCAGTGCAAAAAGTGTAACATCAGTGCAAAAGGTGTAACACCAGTGCAAATTACACATCGAAATTCTGGATTTTGATTGACTGTAAGAAAATAGCAACTTTTCTAAGAAAATGATATCATGTTAAATGATGATGAAAATTTTGTGCTGAAACTTTGAAAAAAGTTTTCTCAAATGANTGATTGGCTGTATTTTAATCAACATATCTAGTTGAGGATTTTCTTTATTTTGGAGGCGGCGTGACCGAGTGGTTTAGGGCGCTGGATTTGAATTCTGGAGGTCCCTGGTTCAAAACCTCCACCCTGCTGCTCTCTGGATTTGTCCTCAGTAGTCCCGAGTTTAGCTCCTCGACTACGTTGTGTAAATAGCCAACTGGTCAGCCTTCCACCACTTGGGATTCTGAATAGTTTATGTTCTATGTGCAATATTTGTTTCATTATTCACAATGTCCCCAATTAGTACAACAGTGCTAGATACACTTGGCACTTAAACAAAGTTATTTGTTGTCATTTATTTTTATTTATTTATTTAACATTGTTACGTCTTGTTGCCGCGTATACAGTGTCCTTTTTCTTTTTCATTCGGGCCAAAGTTTATGTTATGTAAACCATCTCTCGTTTTGCACTTTACTCGCGTCACGAAAACACATTGTTTTATTGTTGCAGGTTTTTGGCGGATTAAAGCAAGATGACGACTAACATGAGGATACACGCGGCATTTGCCAATTAAACGACATGAAATGTTTTTTTAGACGTTAATCTTTTACTCAGTGTTCTGTCTTATACCCGGCATTTTTTAAGCAGGTGTAGCAGATGAACATCCAATAAAGCACAGTCAATCTGGAGACAAGATTTGTTGAAGATGTTGTGATTATTTTAATGCCGGAAGTTATGAATTATTTGCAGGTCGAATTAGCCGAGTTTTGTGTGTTTAAGCAGGACTGGTGTTCCAGTTTTAAGATCAGGAATTGTTATAGGGACTGCTTCTCTGACAGCTTTTTCTGGTGGCGGTAAAACAACTGTGGCTTTTCTCTGTGTTTTTTTGTGTAGAACAACCTCGCGAAATGCGTCTCGAAAATTCTTGTTGTAGAATGCATAAATGAGGGGATTATAGACCGATGCTGACAAACCGATCCAAAAGGTGATTATCTCCGCTCTAGAGATAGTGTAATATCGCTTTTCGACTAGAATACAATACTTCGATATCACTGAAAACGGAGCCCAGCTGAGGAAAAACGCAAACACCACCATAGTCAAGCTTTTGATGGCATTTTTCCTCATTCTACTCTTTATAGTTTTTCTTTTCCATATTGTTTTTAAAATGTTGTAATAAAGGGCGATTATTATCAAGAGAGGCGTCAGAAATCCCAGGATCGCACGAACTGTCAAGTAAATGAAACCAAGTTTTGAATCGAAGGAAGTTTCCTTTATTGCACAGAACTGGTAGACTTCGTTGTTGTAAATGATAGGGAAGGAGTTGATGAGATGAATCTCTGGCAAAGTTAGAATCACTGCGTACAACCAACAGCATATTGCTAGGAACTTGACTTTGGTGCGGTACAGAAACTTTAGAGGATAACAGATGAGAAGGAAACGGTCTGCTGCAGTTGCGGTGAGAATACTGACAGAAGCCGGAGGCAGAAGGTACTGGAAAAAGCGAACTACTTTGCACGTAACATCTTTTTGTAGAAGTAGTAATGGTCTTGGATGCGTTGATACCAAAGTAAGCGGAATGGAAACCGAGCAAACCAAGATATCGGCGACAGCAAGTTGTACCATGAAAAAATACATTGACGATTTGGTGTAACGGCTGCGGGTAATTACATAACAAACCAAACCATTCCCTATGATGCCGAGGATGAACAGAAGACAGCCCACCACAATTTCAACTATCACTTCTACTGAACTCCTAAGCGCCAATGGATAACCGAGCGAAGTGACCAGTGTTGCGTTTTCAAGAGACGCATTCATCTTCAAATGTTATTCCAATTGGTGCATTGATTTTCTTTCCTCTTAGGTTATTTCAAACGAAAATGCTTCATCTAAATCCTGTATGCAAACACCTCTTAAGTGCTTACGGGATTGCTTTGTTTAAATTGAAATTTTCAATAGTTCTTTTGTGGTCGCCAACGTGACACTAATAGCATTTGAATTTCCCTGGGGATTAGTCGTTTTACATGGCATCTTAAATATAGGTGTGAAGAGACAAGGCGAAAATGAATAATTAAAAGAAACCGAGCACTTCAGAGGCACGAGGTCTTTTTAATAATGCTGCTTTGTATTCATAGAAAGGTAACCGGTCAAATAATTACAAACAGTACTGTGAAGTTCAGCAGAAAACAGATTTCATTGTTTACTGGGTTTATATTTGTCCAACTTAAAAAGAAGGCAAATTAACTGGAAAAGATTGTCATGTCTAAGATGATGTTATCTAAATTGTAACCTCGTCTCATAAGCTGAATGTGAATTAGAAATCAAAATTCGTACACTAACGTAGGTTCACACTTTCAAGTCAATGAACGTCTATTGGATCATTGTGCACAAAACTTGGAATTTGTGTTAGTATAAACGGCTCTGAAATGACCTAAAGATGGCATTAGTAAACCCATTTCTTATTCTTGGTTGTCGTACCCTCGTTGAAATAATCTGTTTGCAAAGCTTGCGATTGCCAATGTACAAGCTGCCTCAGTCCCCCTGTGGAACCCGACCTCGAATTTTTTTGCCCTCTCTGCGACATTCTAACCTCCCAGTGGATTCGCAATTTTTCTGTTATGTTTTATCCACCACCCCAACCACCCATGATGAAAATAGCTCTCCTTAATGTGCAATTTAGGGTAACAAACTCCCCAACTCCTAGAGAGGAACATTCTCAAACATGTCTTAAGCGAGAGAGGCATTGGATGTTCGCATTAGAAGAGCTACATTTTTTGGTCGTACAGTTTATGGGAAGCTCCTAATGCGATTTCGATCTACCCCGGTGGAGTGCTTGCTACATTTCTGGCCCGGTGGGAAGGGGGGCGTGGCGTGGGGTATCCCGTGTTAAAAGGCAGGAATGTTCGTCGTGTCGTTTAGGGCCGTAAATGTAAGATTTTACCCTAGCGTCACGCCAGCTCTTATTGCACTGTTATTGGTGCGTTTGTTATGAAATACCGACTTCAGTTTAAGGTTCAAATAAAGCTTGATGATATTCGCTCTGTCGAAGTTTGTGCAAAGTTTCAATGGTCAAGGTCTTTGTTTTCTAGACACCCGTTAGAGTGGTTTTTAATTGGGTGTCGTGAAACCAAAACCAAGCCAATTACTTACAAATCAATCAATCAATCAATTTGTCAGCCAATCTCGAGCCGTGGTAAAACCAAAACTAAAACCAAAGTATTAAATTGCTTGATTATTTTCGACACTCAATTGAAAACTGCTCTAATTTAAGAAGGATTATTTATCTGGGACATATTTTATTATCCGTCTCAAATTCAAACAAAGCTTAACAGGAAAACAAAGAAACCATTGTCGGTGAGTCATAACGGCAACTTTGTTCCAATTTGAGTCACCTCTTTGGGTTTATTATAGAACATTTCTAGCAGTTTGTCAACGAGGCAAAGGGATCTAGATTACCTATGATACACATGAAGCTGTCATCATCACGCGGATTTTATTGCGAAAAAGCATAAACTATAATGCAGGCTACATGATAACTAGGAATCGAAAGAGGAGGTCAAAGAGTTTATAGACCTTGTTGGCCTCGCTAACTCTTGAAACACTCGTGCGGACTTCAGTACTTTGAAGAGATTTTAACAAAGGGGATTTAAATGTGAAGTTTAGTCCAGTTTCGAGTTACCAAGACTTATTCTCAATCTGAAGTCGAATATTTACAAAAAAAAATTATCGCATAAATTATAAATTCGTGTGGTAAAGGTAAAGTCTGTATATGAGTCAAGTGGCCCACGACGCCGGAGCTTATCCCGGTTTCAGTAGCATGAAGCGACTAGGAGTATTTCTACTTCCCCCTGGATGGGATGCTAGTCCATTGCAGGGTTACCCCCCAGCATTGGTGGAGAGAGGCACTGTGAAAGTAAAGTGTCTTACCCAAGAACACAACATAATGTTCCCCGGCCAAGGCTCGAACCCGGACCGCTCGATCCGGAGACGAGCACACTAACCATGAGGCCACCGCGCCTCCCCAAGTTGGCTTAGCTATTTTGGTATTTATACCATGCTCTAGAAATATGGTGAGCGTACGCGTTTTGTTTGTTTGTTTGTTTGTTTGTTTTTTGTTTTTTGTTTTTTTTTTGGGGGGGGACGTTTTTACTTTCATTTTACTTTAGTTGGCTATCTATCATCTTTACATGATATGTGGAATAATTGTTAATTAGCCAATGAGTGCGCGAGAATTTCAGCAGTTATTGTAAAACAGTTATTTGCAGGTCACGTGGTGGGCTTTCGGCCAATGAAAAGAAGAAAATGACGAATCGAACGAGAGTGTCGGTTTTCGGTATTATTTTGTGTGTCGTTTCGTTTAGATGGACGTTTAGAGTGGTCACAACTTCGTGTCAAAATTTCTCTGATTCGAATTTATCCAATTTCTCTGTATATTGCTTTTGGTTCATTATTCTGTTCCGGATGATTACGAGCGTCCAATGTCCTGTAATTTTTTAAGCTTGTTTATTCAGATAGGGAAGACAACATGTTTGCGTTCTCCACCACTCAAATGGGTGACAAATTTTCCTGGGCTGTCCCAGGGATCGGGAAATGCTCGGCTCCTGGCCGGGTAGTACATGGAATTTTAAATACGTTACGTACCCCAGGGATTGATGTGAACAAATGCCCAGCTTTTTCGGCTCTCGGAAGAGGGGATAGCCTGATTCTCAGACGTCCGAGGTCGTTCGTGTCCCCTTCGCTTCCCCTCTCTCCGAGGAGAGAGGGCCGCGAACGACCTCGGACGTCTGAGAATCAGGCCAAAGCGGGGAGGGATGGGCTGGAATTGACTGATGAACGTGACCGGAACTATACCTAGTATGCTGAAATTTAAATGTAATTTTAAAAATGTATGCAGCTGGACACAGTTATTTTACGTGCAACGCGGAAAAGAGAAACGAATTCTTAAAAAAACGTCATACTTTCTACTTTTTCTTTAGCTAGAAAATTGAAAGAAAAAAAATCAAAAGTGAGAGGGAACAAGAAGGTTAAATTTTTCATTTTTTAATTTGCCAGATAAAAAAAGAAGATCTGTACAAAAAGAGAACGACAAATCGAGAGAAAGAATTAGATTCAGTGTTAAAACTCGCATCTGTCGCTTATAGATAATAGACAAGACTGGCTCCTGAGCGCTTATCCACGTAGCTTAGTTTCTGAATAAACATCATACAGAACTTCTGAGGCTCACCAGTATTGAATATAAAGTATATTTTCTTCTATTTTCTTTGTTATCAAACTCACGTCTCAGGTCGGATTCTGTCACAAATATCAAACCGAATGTTTGCCATTCCTACATAGTAAAGAGAATCCAGAATTCGATGATAACTCCTAACGCTGACAAATGGATACCATGTTGTTAAACACCATCATCAGTTCTGAATTAAGAATAAGAGTGTATCATTGCAGCGTCAATATGGTCTCTTTCGTCAAATAAACCTGATTTGCAACGACGAGGAACTGAAACAGTAAAGAAGTTAATCGATGTTATAATATGATCCAATTACGTTTTCTCCTAACTAAACTTTCAAGTGTCCGACGTTCGCGACATAGTTGTCGAACAAATCAAGCCTAACTATAGCGAAAGGAAACAAAATGGCGCTTAATGACAACCGCAGTGACCACCGGTCTATGTACCGTGAACCCTCCAAGTTCATTTTGAATATGAAGTAGCAATGAAAATAACGACTTTATTTCGCGTCTTGATTCCAGGTGAGTGTTTACGACATTACATTGGGTTTCTTCGCTGGGGGTTATTTTCTTATGGAGACGCAGAAACAGCGATCTCGGTGGTAGCTTTTATGCATATAATTCTGCTTCCTTTTGCTCACCTTTCGACTGGGGGAGTATTCCCAACATACCTTCTTAGGAGGATCGTTCTAAAACAATTATTTGGCTGCCTTGATACGTTGAATTCAGTCAAAGAGGACAGGCGCCAACTAAGGCGAATTCGTTGAAGAGATACCATAGGAAATTCCACTTTGTGTTGTTAAGTACAAATCTAAATATGTAATCACGAACTCCGATTCTCTTTAACAGAAGTTGTATTGCTATGTTTCTTGAGTGCAATAATCATTGTGCGAGAATTTTCTGTCTTTCCTCCTTGGTTAAAGGCGTTCTAACGATCGATCGTTGTGCGTCGATCGTTGCCATATAAACTTATTAAAATTCAAGCTTGGGAATAGCGAAATTAAGGCTTAATTCTTCGCTAATTTCACCTTTTTCGACGACAGAGGGGCAGCAAAATACGCTTTAATACTTGTTTTAATAAACTTTTTTGGCCAAGATTTGCAATACAGAGAAAATAATTTTGTTGTAAACTTCTCGTGCAATATTATTACGATGACTTTGTTTGCACAGAGAAGACTATTTGTATGCAGTAATGCAGATACCTCAGAACTTGAGTAAACAGGAAAGAATTGCAGAAATAAAATATGAATTCTGTTTTTCTTGTGGATTGGAGTAAACATTTATTTGTATACCTGTTTCCCTGCATATGTCCTTGGATTAAAGGTCAGATATATTTAATTTTAGTTGAAAAATATATTCATTTTTAATAACCAGGAACGTGAAAAGGTAATGCAGAACTTTCTAAAGTTAGTTAACAAATAAACATAGAGGTCTTAAGGCCTTTTTTCATGCCCTTAAGGGTGAGGTGGCAATATTAAGATCTCATAATTGTACATTCTAAAATAATCGGCTGCATTTTCAGTGACAATACAATTAACTGTACATGCACGTCAAGCTTGCTGGCTTCACCTCTTTGTGAGAAATGGATGTGCAATAAACAGGGTCTGCAAAATCTGCAAGCCAGTGAGCCGTGCAAGCCACGGTGCGAGCCATGCGAGTCATGCGAGCCATTTTTGTGAGTATTTTTCTATTCTTTGATTGGTCTGGGAGGTCGTCGATCATTTCACCAAGAAACGTCTCGCGCCCGACTATCGCTAAATTAAACTATCGCTATAAACCGCCCGCCTGCCATCTTGAAAGCGGAGATGACCCTGAGGACGAGTATAAACAGTACAACCTCGCTCCCAGGGTACTCTCTATTTCCCTGGGAAATTAATTTTAAATTTATCAACAAAAGTGCCTAAAATTGAAATATTCCCAGAAAAAATCCTAATCTCGCTTCAGTTGCCAGAACTATTGCTGGTGTGTCAAATATGGTACATCATCGTGCCAAGTCTTGCGTCATAGTAATGGCTGCCCTGAGTTGGACGAATTTTTTTTATTTTTTTGTTTCATATTTTTGTTATGTGTAGAAAAGTTTGTCTATTCAAATCGCCCAGGATCTGCAAAACATAAAAACAATGCGACAAGAATTTATTAAGGTTCAAGACTTAAGTAAGAAACATTTTCTAAGAGAAACGCAGTGATAAAAGTGTTGACAAGTCTGCACGACTCCTGCTGTTCGCAGATGAATAAGTCCTAAAGCCTTCATAGCTTAGCTTTAACTGCTGACTAGGATGTCTTTTAGGGACTTTCCCTTGTGATATGAGTTGATGGGGGGCTCCTTAAAGATTTCTCTCAGTTGTGGTTGATTATCTATAAGGTGCCCTCTCCCCATGAGTGTGTCTTTTAGGTTAGGCAACGCTGGGTGGTATTGCAGCTTATTGCGTTACAAAGGGCAGTATTTTCTTTTGAGCAGTTTTGTTTTTCTGTGCTAACAACATTTTTCTGTCAGAGAATTTAATCTCTGAAAGGTGTTTCTCTACAGTTCTAGCTGGGTAATCTCTATTCTGCAGGCTTGTTTTGAAATTACTCGTGTTTTCCTCAAAAGTATTATCAGAAGCCTTAACCTTCTCCTTTGATAAAGCCTTTCGCGATGCCTGGTGGATGACACGAATAGAAATTCGTGTATTGAAAGGTCTCTGTAGGTTTGAAATGTGTTCGCACGTCAAGAAAAGATTCCTTATTGAATCTGTCCCCTTTGTACACTTTTGTGCCCAAGAACATAGTTTCTGTTTCTGAGATTTTAGCCATGAATTCAATTGTTAGGTGAAAACTGTTTGCCTTTAGAAGGAAATCTTTTATTTTGTCTCTACTTGTGTTCCACATAAATATGACGTCATCGATTAATCTTTTCCAAAAGATGGGTTTGGTGTTACTTTGTCTGAGTATTTCTATTTCTATTTTGGCCATAAATATGTTAGCAAAAACTACGGCTATTTTCGTTCCCATGGCTGTTCCATGAGTTTGGAGGTAATCTTTTCCACTGAATTGGAACGAGTTTTCTGGTAGAATCAGACTGACATTTCTCTTAAATACCTGCTAGGAATTGGAGGGTTCTCACGATAAAACTCTTCGTATGCTTCGCATACTGTGGTAATACCCTCTTCCTGTGGTATGTTTGTGTAGAGGCTGGTGACGTCCATTGTGACAAGAATGGTGTTCTTAGGCAGTTTAGTCTTCTCACTGATGAAGTTAAGAAAGTCTGTTGTATCTTTAGGATACAAGGCTTGTCTTTGTGCTATCGGCTGAAGAAGGTGGTCAACAAAAGATGAGATCATTTCTGTAGGACTGTCACACCCTGATGTAATAGGTCTACCGACAGGTGTTGGTTTGTGAATCTTTGTAAATGTGTAAAACACTGGTATTCGCAGAGGGTCGGGCGTAAGGGAGAGCCATTTAGCTTCCATTTCGTCTATGTGGCCTTCTTGAAGTAGTAATCGAATCAATCGATGAACTTTTTTGGCCATGTTTTGTCTAAGGGTTGGTATGTATATCATCAAGTTGGACTTGACCCTCGTTGAGTTTATCTATTCTGTTCATCATGACAGTTGTGGTACCCTTATCAGCTTTCCGTGCATTGTGAGGCATTTTAACCGGAAGTAAAATTTGTAGCTATTTAATTTTTTTTAGCTTGGCTTCTGATTGGCCTATTCAAAAAACGTCTTGGTGACGGTTTGTGTAGTCGCTGCAAGAATTTAATATTGCGATCTTATTCATCTTGTTCCGTTGATCTTGCTCTTGTTCTCATGCAAATATAAATGTAACAAATAAAAATTCTTAACATTTGTACTGTGGCTCGCATGACTCACATGAGACTCGCATGACTCGCATGACTCCCATGGCTCGCATGGCTCGTATGGCTCGCTGGCTCGCTGGCTCGCAGGTTTATAAAACTCCAATAAACATGGTCATCCCTGTTTCATGCTCAAATAAAACATTTGCTTTTAAAACCAACCAGAGCATGCATAGAATATATTTAATTGTTCTACAGTCATCTTGGTTATAAAATTTATAATATTCCTATGTTGAAACCCTTTCAGTTTGATATTGTGGCGGGTGAAATAGCATAGTCCTTCTTAAATTCTTACTTACTATTAATACTTGTAAGATAAGTTATCAAATTTGCATTTGATAAGTATAGGTAATCATACGGTTTCAAGTTCAATTTGGAATTAATTTGCACAAGTGAGTTTTTCAAAAAGCTGAAATTGCACGAGCTGCTTCAGCAAGTGCAATTGTGCAGGTTTTTGAAAAACTCACAAGTGCAAATTAATTCCAAATTGAACGAGAAAAACTGTATGATTACTTATTAATAATATAAACATGAAAAAATTTGCACGGAGGAAGTGCTGGAAGATCTTTCTTGAAGCCATTTTTTTCATTCAAGAAAACTTTTTTCAAAATTTCCGCACAAAATTTTCGTCATCATTTTACGTGATATTATTTTCTTAGAAAATTTCATTTTGTCTTTCAGCCAAGCATAATCCAGAGTTACCATGTGTAATCTGCACTGGTGTTACACTTTTTGCACTGGGCGGTGTTACACTTGAACTGCACTGTTCTTAGCCAATCAGAATGGTGACAAAATGATGCTGAAACATCATGTAATAGCATTTCTATTTCTTTTAACAAGTGTTTCCTCAGGCTCCACTGTACATCTTCTTTAATCAGTAGACAAAAAATATGTGAAAATATTCTCTCAGAAGTAAGCCCTCAAATATGATCGCCACATTCTCCTCCTGAATGACAAATTTTACAGACTGATTAGAACATAGACACTCTTTATAAAATAGTAAAATCTGTTTGATTTGTCTGTGTTTACAGGAGTTTTTCTCCTTCACTACCCACATACAGCAACATGCAGTAAGTTCTTCTTCAATTCCACATCACAGATGCAAGTACCATCACCAGTTATTCCTCTCCGCACTGGGTTTGATTTCAGCTTTAGAACTTGCAGTGGTGGGGTTTTGCTTGATCAAAAAGGGCCAAGCAATGGTTTTGTTCGTCTGGAAGTGGTTCCCACAACAGTGAATTATTCTGTTACACCTGTATTGTTTATTGCAAGCCATCTGAAAATGACATGGTCAATAAATTCAATACAGGAGTCAGTTACATTAGGGAAAGACTTGGACCAAAATATTATTTATAAAGTACAATTTACTGCTGGCAGTGGAGGGACAAATTCAACGCTCAGCCTAACTGGATTGGCATCATTTTCTGCAGCTATTCCAAACAATATTTTAGACTTTACAAATACAGGCCCATTATTTGCTGGCTCTCCTGTCTCTGGTGGTGGTACAGGATTTGTTGGATGTATTATAAGTGGAAGAAATATTCCATTGGTAAAGACCGGCACTTCTATCAACATCAGTGAAAACTGTACGCTTGATTACCAACTGGGATGCCCAACCAAAGGTCAGTCTAATATTTTTGTCCCAGAATTGTGTTAGAAGTAAACAAATATAACTCCAGTGCTTCATCAATTTGTGAAGTAGGAAAAAAGTGATCCAGAATGCATGTGCAAACATTGAATTTGGGATTTGCCTTCTTGTTTCCTTTGTTTTGTCCTAACTGATCAGAAACAGAATGATTTTTACATGAGAACTGGCAACTTTAATTTGTGCAGATGACAACTAGGAGTGTAGCTTCATTTAAGTCAATGATTAGTCACATCAGTGTAGAGTTCAGTATATGATAATTTAATTATTATGGTAACCAGTATCTTAATTGTGTTGTGTTTGCTTGGGATTGCTTTCAGTGTGCCCTGCTGGTTTTACTGGGGATTACTGTCAGGTCAATATCGATGACTGCCCTAGCGCTCTATGTCATCACTACAGTACTTGTATTGACCTTATTAGTAACTACAGTTGTAGCTGTGGACCAAGATGGACTGGCCGACTGTGTGATAACTTCCTGGGATCTTTATGCAACAAGACTATTAACAATAACACTGATGTCTGCAAGAATGGAGGTCTTTGTTTCGACACTGATGACAAGAACAACTACACGTGTACTTGTGCTGTGGGTTTCACTGGACGTAACTGTGAACTTGAATTTGACCCTTGTGATAGTTCACCATGTGAGCAAAGTGGAACATGCTCTAAGCTTGGACTTGATGATTTCAGATGTGATTGTCCAAAAGGTGAGACTTTGACTAAGCAAAACATTTGAAATATAAACATGACTGTGTGTGTTTTTTTTTACTGGTATATCTACTTTTGGGTTTCTTACCTTTCCATTAATATTTTTTATCTAATCTGAACAAATGTGGCTTTATTTAATATGTTTACTTCAAAATATCTTCTTGAGATTTGTACTTGACTTACATTTTTTTAACAAGCTCTTCTGTCAGCTCCTAGGTGCCACATATGTATTATGTATTAAGTAACTAAATGATCGATTCTCATCTATTCTGTCAGTGATTGGTCAGTAAGTTTGCCTATGGGTGCAGGCTGATTGCTACTGGGCAAATTTGTTAAAATGTAATTATTGTAATTCTATGTACATATATCTGTAGCAGGTAGGAAAGTCTGCATACAAGCCAAGTGGCCTTTCAGGCCGGGGCTTATCTCCAGTCACTGTTACGTGCAGCATGAAGTGACTAGGAGTATTTCTACTGCCCCCTGCACAGGAAAAAAATATCAAAATCCCATTAATGGTTTTTCATCAATTTTTCCTGTACTGTATGGGATGCTAGATAAGTCCACTGCAGGGTTACCCCAGCATTAAATTTCGCCGTTACCCATTTATTCTCCTCAATGAAGAGAGGCACTGTGATACTAAAAGTGTCTTGCCCAAGAACAGAACACAATGTCAGTGGTCAGGACACAGACTGCCTGATCCACAGGCGAGCGCAGTAACCATGAGGCCGCAGCACCACTCCCCCTGGAAATAGAATTCTACATGTATATAGCATACTTTTATTTTTGTTCACTTGTTACATTGTATGAATAAAAAATGCTAATTTAATTTTTTGTGTATATTTAATCTATTATAATGATCTATTGTTATTACTGAATTTATTACTTAGTTGATAGTTGTTTGAAGCCAATTTAAAAATCAAATAGAGATTGAAAAAATAATTATTAGTACAGCTGTAGTCTAAAAGTTAATTTTTGTTTTTATCATAACTTGTATTTAGTTGATGTTTTTCTCCCCTTTTTTTCTGGCCTTCTAAGGTTTTAAGGGAAAGACATGTGATGAAAATATAGATGACTGTTCACCATCTCCTTGTGGAACAGGCTTTTGTAATGATGGAATCGACACCTTTACTTGTAACTGTACTGGATCTGGATACACTGGAGAAAAATGTAATGTGGACATTAATGAATGTGAAACTGAAAAACCTTGTCATCCTAATGCTACTTGTACTAACTACAAAGGCACATACCAGTGTAACTGTCAACCAGGATTTAACGGAAAGAATTGCTACCAAAATATTGATGACTGTCGAAGCAACCCATGTCAAAATGGAGGTATGTCAGATTATTTATATCATGACAAATAAAACAAATATGAAACAAGTATATTACAGTATTTGTATTAATCACTTCTGGTAGTGTTATTTATTTGTTCGCTTCTGTTTTATTTATTTCAAACATTCAATATTAATGTTAAATAATGAATAATTAATTATTCATTCAGTCAACGTTCAGCAAACTACTTGTGACAGTTTAATTAATCATTTCAGACTTCATTATGATGTCATGATGACATCAAAACAACTTTCCATTTTATTGCTCAGTTTTTCATGCTTAATATTAGACCTAAAAAAAACTATCAGGATTAGATAAATTAAACCATTGGGGAAAAAGAAACTTCAAAATGTCTTCACTTTTGATTTCTCTTGGTTTTGTCTTGGGGTCCTGATCTGACTCAATATCTTTCAGCATGTTTTTGTTTCCATTTAATTTATTTTGTAGGACGTTGTGTTGATGAAGTAAGCCGTTATAGATGTGAATGTGTAGTTGGTTTTAATGGCACCTCGTGTCAACATAACATTGATGACTGTGTGGCCCACACTTGTAACAACTACTCTCGGTGCCAAGATGGTGTCAATAATTACACTTGTGTTTGTAAGCCAGGTAAGTCTGTGCTCTTTTCACCACAAAGATGAATATCACTTTGACAGTACAGTACAGATCAGAAGAAACCTAACCAGGAATGTGTTTGCGAACGGGTATAGACCCTATTCATAAATGGCTGCCAATTAAAAATTCTTTTTTAAGTAATAAAATTAGCCCAACTAACCTCGTTTTTGAGTTGATAATTCAAAAGAATTTTTACTTGCAAATGAGGTTAGTTGGGCTTATTTAAATACATACAAAAGAACTTTAAATTGGCAGCCATTTATGAATAGGGTCTATAGAACGGATACAGAACGGGTACAGAACGAGAACGGGAACAAGTGTGGAACAACAATAGAAGGTGTTCTGTCAGGCGTTCCCTGTTAGGTTTTTTCTGATTAGTACTGTATTCATACAGGGATCTAGCCAAGAGCCAGCTGCCAGCTTAGTGCTTCTAGGATAACTTAAAAGCCAGAATAGCAGTTTTTCTTAGCTACATCCCAGTCCAATATTTAGAACTTGTTACATGGTTAAATATGTAGTAATGACTTCCTGTCTATATTATATTAGTAGAATTCTACTAGTATACTAATGCAAATGCAGTAATCTGATTGGCTGAGCCATTGAACACTATCAGCCATTAGTGTACAGTGGCTGGAGGTCATCTACGTTTTTCCAAAGTTTTGGAGGAACATTTTGATGCAAATGGTTAGTTAAATTCCTGAGAAGTCTAAACAAAGGACATTTACGGCTTCTTGACTTTAAAAAAGGTTGAAATTATTTAAAAAACTGATGTGCACACACACACAACTTCAGTCTTAAATGACAATTCACCTGAGCGATCTTTTACAGGTGCAAAGTTTAATAATACATCAAGAAATAATTGGAAACCGTTATTTGAAGTAAATTTTTTGTAAGAATTCTACTAAAACAGTTAGATTATTTGCTCTCAATTTCTATGAGGTGATTTTCAGCCTCATCAACTATCACCTCATATAAATCTTGAGCTCATAATCTAATTGTTGATTAGTATAAATCTACTAGTGTTCTATCACGAATGCCGTTCTCTGATTGGCTACGCTACTCACTATCTGTTCTGTGATAGTGAGTAGTGTAGCAGTGTGCCCTTGTTAACAAAATGACAGCCGCTTCTTGGCATTTTCGAAGTGTCTGTGAAGAGAATTTAGATTAAGTTTTGAACGACTAGTAGATTTATACTAAAACAATTAGATTATTCGCTCTCAATTTCTATGCACGATAGTTGACTCGGGCTGCGCCTTCGTCAACTACATGTATCACACGATAACAATCTCAAGCTCATAATCTAATTGTTTAATAGCAGCTAGCCATCTGACTCCAAAACAGCTAAGAGTTTTGCACCTGACTGTTCACTGGCTCATGCACTTGACTTATATTGAATCCCCTAAGTACCTACAACAGCCACAACATAAACACGTACACATCACATGTGGCCTGCAAGTACATTCTTCCCCACAGGGGTGTCATTAACATTTTCAGCAGGAGGGTAACTGGTTTTCACAGGCAGACAAATTTTTGAACTTGACTTTTTGATAAGAAAAACATTCCACCAGATGATCAAACCACATTGTAACTGTACCTCGACTTTTTTCTAACTGGCCCTCTTTCTGTCACACAATGCTATTGCTATCGGGAAGTAGGGTGCAAGGCAATAATTGCCAACAATTTTCAGAAATAATTTTAGAACAGGTTTTGGTTTGCTTACAACAGTTGTCTAAGTATCAATTATGTACATTAATTACCATTTACTATGCATCTAAATAAGAGTATTAATAATTGTTACCATTCACATTGCCTTTGTTTTACCTAGGATTTGAAGGTGAAAACTGCACAGTTAACATCAATGATTGCAAGAATAACTCTTGTGTCGCAAATGCTACTTGCAGAGATGGTGTCAATAACTTCACCTGCCAGTGTCCCCTAGGGTACTATGGAGAGTTCTGTCACTTGGAGATTGATGAGTGTCAATCAAACCCTTGTGAGAACAATGGAACTTGCAATGATTTAATTGGCAGTTTTAACTGCACCTGTGTAACAGGATTTAATGGCACACAGTGTGAGAACAACACTAATGACTGTCCATCACATGGCTGTAACAATGGAACTTGTGTTGATGGCATTAATAGTTTCACGTGTTACTGTAATCCGGGGTTCAATGGTTCATTCTGTGAGATAGACATTGATGAATGTGAAGGTAAGTTTATAGAACAACCATAAGTGATTAGGGCAATTATTGTTGCTAAGAAATGATATATCACACCTCGGATCATTCTTAAGGACAAAAAGACGAGCACTGACGCCCTGTCCACACCATGCTGGAGAAATTTGAAATTGCAGCGTTATCTATATGGTTAGGCCTACCATCCTTAATCCATTGCACAAAAAAGCAGAGATTTTTGAAGTCGCTCTCCAAACTGAAGGAATTAGAAAATGCTCACGTTGTGATAAGTATGGGATTTTCCTGCAGGAGTTTTCCTCAAGTGCAAATCTATTTTATGACTGTTAATTGTTGCGTTTTCAAATTTCTCCAGCATTGTGTGAACAGAAAACATCTGATGAGTTTTTAGTGTGAAAACGCCATTTTCAAATGTCTCTAGCATAGAGTGTGGACAGGGCTTGAGAGCTGCTGACCAGAAGTGGTTCTCTAGTAAATAGATTAAGTTGTCATTTACACAACACAAGTTCCTGTGTGTAGTCTGACTTTTCCAGTTATATGAATCAAACGGTGACCAAGAAAACAACTACAGCAGTGCAGATCTGAGTTTGAACTAGAATGGACACTACTTAGCAAGCTTTAGTTGACCAAGTTTAAGAGGTAGAACAATATTGACCAATCAGTGATAGCCGTCGGACTGAGAGAATCTTAAATGGAACATTAAACTCATTGCCAATTGATAGGCTTGGGAAAGGTGCCTATTGAATGGTAGAACCGGGCGTGATGTGAGCATCAAACAGATCACGAGGGTATCCATGGCAACCTTGAGGGCAGCAACCACCAGGCACTGTCACACTGACAGAGTGCATGTTCTTACACAGCTGGCAAGCAAAACATGTAAGCCCTGCAAAACCCCTTATGAGACCCCACAGAGTATAGAACTTTGCCCTGAATGGCTACTGACCAGCATTGGCTCAAATCAAGCATTGCCTAAACTGCATGTAGGCACGCCCCTGCCACACCCATGTAAAAAGTACAAACTATTTATATTGAGCTATTTTTGGCTGAAATGATGAAGTACTTGGTTCTGTGGTAAGTGCAGAAACATGATATCAATCAGTGCGTGACATATTTTGCCAGGTCAGTCTTGCAACTGTGGAACATGTGATGATCGTCCTGGGTCATATAACTGTATCTGTGATCAGTGGACTACAGGCAAAAACTGTGAGATTGACATTGATGAATGTAACAACAGCAACCGTTGCAATGAGGACAAGAATCAAGGTCGTTGCTTTAACTTCGATGAATCCAGCTCCACTTGTGCCAGTCGTAAAGGATTTGAATGTCTTTGTAGGAATGGCTTCACAGGTATTTGAGAAGAACCTTGCAATTAAGTCTGTTTTCTTCCTTAAAACTTGCCAACAATTTACAGGGAACATTACCAACAATCATGGACAAAAGTCTTGGGAAAAATGTGTACTTTTGGCACTTTTGGCACTTTTGCGCACATGCCAGACGCGAATACAACTTCGCCAGCCTAACCTCGCCCCCCAGCCCCCATACAATGTTGAAAACTAGTACCTGCAATTTCACCTGATTTTCAACATTGTGTTGAGTGGGGAGGGGGGACAGCAACGCGTTTTTAAAGGATATAGCAGCGTTTTTTTCAAACTTCATTTCTAAAACACAGATAATTTGTTACATTACATAGGTGTCCCAAGGACTTTTGTCCACGATTGTAGTATAGTATAGTGGCACAATCAGTGATACAATTAGCACTATTTAAGAAATAGGAAACATGTTCCGTGTTTCTATCGTGTTATAGAAACACAAGTGGAAGTTTGGAAGAACGAGAAATGCTGTGGGAACACGAGCCGCAGGCTGGTGTTTCCACAGCTTTTTCGAGTTCTCCCAAACTTTCACGAGTGTTTCTATAACTCGATAGAAACATGGAGATCATGTTTTCTATTTCTTTTAGAAAACACCGCGACGAAAAAAGGAAAACAGCTTGTTCACTTTGATTATCAAAGTGTAAATGCTCTTTGCTCGCGCCATCATTACGTCAACAACTCGTGCTAGTTCTGTGTTTCTATCGAGTTATAGAAACACGATTTGTAACCAATCAGCGCGCGTATTTTCTTAGGACTGTTTTCTAATTGATTTTGTTGGGCGAAATGGTCATTAATGACACGTGAGCCTGATTTGGTCTTTTCCCCCAGAGTACAACAAAGTTTGTCATTTATAACAAACCTGTTATGGAGCTTTTTCACATGATGTCACAGCAGCCATATTGGCATACCAACCAATCCTGTGGGAATTGAACTATTTTCTTATGTAAACACTTTCTTTTGTTCCAGTATTATAGATTTACATGACTGCTGGTCATGTCAAGGAAAGCGCTCTATACAAAAAGAAACATAATTATTTACCCAGTGCCTTGTGAGGTTCAATTTTATCAATAGTGCTTGACAAAAACAACAACAACAACAGCAACAACATATTTTTGTACGACAGGAAAAATTATTTTATTGTATAAACCTTATTATTTCAGGCACAAACTGTCAGACTAATATCGATGACTGTAAGCTTAATGATCAGCCATGTCAAAATGGAGCCACGTGCATCGATGGAAATGTGGACTACACTTGTAACTGCATGCCTGGTTACACAGGACGGAACTGCACTGTTGACATTGATGAGTGTCAGTTTGGATTCTGTCAGAATAACGCAACATGTAATCACACAATCAATAACTACACCTGTCACTGTTTACCAGGCTTCACGGACTTCAACTGTTCAACAAATATTAATGAATGTGAACCAAACCCTTGTGTAAATAGTACAAACTGCACAGATTTGATTAATGACTTCAACTGTACTTGTCTGCCAGGATTCACAGGTAACCATGACTACGAAATGAAAGTGATTCATTGTTTTGACAGAAACTATGTTGTGTGGTACTCTAGTCTTTTGTGACAGGAACTTGGTACTTCGTTGACATGAGTACTGTACATCATTGTCTGTTAGTGAAAAATGGGTTGACTGAATGGTCTGATTGTTAATTTTAATCGCCGTGTACCGCTACACTGTACATAAGAACCGATACAATAGACCCAACGAAACACGACAACTAAACAAAGGCTCATAAAAAAAGGTCATTACAATGGTGACTCCTTCAATGTACCGGTACAACAGGACACAACCCGACGTCTGGTTATTAACCCTTTGAATACCAAACTTTCGCCAAAAAATATCGTTTTTAACCGTTTAGCTGAAGGTTTTTTAGCTGCCATGACGCTAAATAAGCTTAAGCTTTGCTAAGAAAGCTTTTTTTATTTTAGAAGGAGAGATTTTCGGAGGATTAGGTTCAAAATTGAGCAATATTTCAGTTCCGGGAATGCGCATAAGCCAAAATTTCGATTTGCGACGTCGGAATGTCGTCGATATCTAAACCTGACCATTGTACGGAAAGGCCTATTCTAGTACTACTATCTGCTTACCAAGAATATCTGATGACATTTAAACTGATGGCGTCACAAGTGGTACAAAGAGCACGACCATTAATTACGCATATATGCGTGATTGGTATTCAGAGGATTAAGTAAAGTTTCCGTGAATGTCACAAGTCAGTCCTTATCAACTTGGTTGTTCCAAACTTGAAATAGAAGCTCTTATCAACACTGAAGTACGATCAGTGTGACGTTGTTCAAAAACCACGAGGATCGTTTTTCTCCTGCCTAAACAATAGATACATGTAAGATTCGTTCATGCCTGGGATTTCAATTTGTGTTATCTCTTTGTCACGCAGGTAAGAACTGCTCTGTTGAAATTAATGAATGTGACTCCAATCCATGTCTGAACAATGGAACATGTCTTAACTTGATAGCTGATTTCAGCTGTAACTGCACAACAAACTACACCGGCAAGTCCTGTGAGTTCAAGGTATCTTCCTGCAATCCTAATCCTTGCCGCAACAATGGAACCTGTATCAAAGAAAACAACAACTTTACTTGTACATGCGCACCTGGCTTTGGAGGGACACTCTGTGATAATATCACCACAGTTGGATTCAATGGCTCTTCGTACATGAACTTCACCCTTGGAAAACAAATATTTGAACTTTCATTTCAGTTCAGGACAACTCTTCATCACGGCTTGCTGGCTGCTGATCCAGGTAACAAATTCCTTGTGTTTCTTGATAACGACAATGTTCATTTTGCGTACAATGAAGCACAGAAACTTTCAGCTGGGAAGGCGGCTAATCTTAGCAACGGCCTCTGGCACACAGTTCACGTCAACAGATCTGTTGACTCGGTGACCCTCATGGTGGATAATTCATCCTGCGGCCAAGACTGCATGGCATCTTCATCTCAACAAACACAAGCGTACATTACAAACCTTCACATCGGCGGCTCTTCACTTTCTCCAACCTATGGCCGTAATATTCTGCATAATTTTACTGGATGCATCCAAGATGTAATGGTTGACAGGAAGAAAGTAATCCCTACAGAAGAAGGGGTGCAATTATTTATGACCAGTATTGGGTGTCCACGCAGTGAGCAGTGTGTGTCCAATTCCTGTGCAAATGGCGAGTGTGTTGATGAATGGATCAAGTTCAGCTGTGAATGTACACGGCCCTGGATTGGTCCACGGTGTAATACAAGTGAGTTATGTGGCAATTAACACTTAATGACTGATTCCATGAAAAACAATTAGCTTTGTTTCCCGAGGATTTCAATGTTGTATGTGAAGGGACCGGTCATTAAGTGATGTGTTATTTAGAACAACAAAGTAGATGTAAAACGCAGATCTTTGATCATCAATCATGGTTAACAACACACGTTACCCTCTGACGTCATAGGGTTTGTATTGGTGCTCGCTCAGACTTTTTTGGCGTAAAACAGTTTCATAGCTAGACCTGCGACGTCATTTACCTCACGAATCTTTTTTATTGCTAATTAGTGCCAATAGGCGCGAGAAGGCAGAGACATTATTAAAGTTACTATGTATGTGTATTTAAGTATGTGTGACCTGAAAGTGTTCCATAAAATCGTTTGTTGTTGGGGAAAAAAATTCAGCTGCCATAGCAAATATTTAGTCATTTAATACAGGAAATTAACTTTGAGCTTCTCAACTGAACCTACCAACAAAATTATGCAGCTAAGATCTTTTAGAAGGCCACCGGCTTAAACCATTTAGAGTTATTACAAGGCCCCCAAAACTACCAACACTCAAAGCATCAACACAAACATTAATTTAACGTTCAATAACGTAAACAACGCCTACAGCTACTGCTTGTGTGCACAGTACAACCAGTTAGAACAACCTCAGTTCACCTCTAACTAATTTTTTTTTCAGGTTTGACTCCAGCAACGTTTGGTGCGACTGAGCCCTTAAACCTTGTTAGCAGCAGACGGCGTCGTGATGTTGAGAGCATGCGTAACGCAAGCCTTGCCAAATTTGTCACCAATGGTGCAATGTTTGGCGCTACTGGGGAGCTATCATTCTTCATCCGAACTCGAGAACTGAGTGGATTGATAATATTTATGACAGACAGCAAGAGTAACAACATCAGTGTTGGTATTAATGAAGGTGTCTTAGTTGTCCACACAACTCTAAATGGGAAGAATTCCAGTGTTACCATAAATGCAACTGTGAGTGACGGTCTGTGGCACTTTGTTGAAATCCAAGGAAACATGTCACGCGTTGATAACCTTAGCTTAGTCACTGAACCTATTGCAGACAAAGACATCAATTTGACTGTAACCTACATTGGAGGACTTGATGACTTCCCTCTTTACCCTGATGTCAATCTCATAAGAACTCCATTTCGCGGCTGTTTGCAGGACACCCGACTCAACAACAAACTGTTTGATTTTGGGATGAATAATGGTTCGTTGATTTCTATTGAGCGTTACATGTTAGTCGCTCAAGGCGGTTTGGGCGCGGGTTGTAAGGGTATGAACGTGTGTCGATTGGCACCATGTGGTGAAGGAGGCTACTGTAAAGACTTGTGGAACAAGTACGAGTGCGACTGTAAACCGCGCTATGGTGGCGCGGACTGTGCACTGTATGGCTGTTCGCTGGTCAACCTGTGTCCTCACAATACCACCTGCTTAGATGTCGGCGAAAACTATGAATGTAAGTGCTAACTGAACGATTGGTTTAGTTATATGAAGTTTGTGTGCGCGTTCACCTTCGAATTGTTAAGGTAAACTGCATTGCTCCATAAGACTCTAAGGATGGCGGTGTTTTTTCCTACGAAATTATCTGTCTTGAACAATTCACAAGTGGAGACCAACATAAAGAATGAATCAGTTTCTTTCTAACAAGTCTTGCTGGTTTTTACAATATGCGTGTTATTTTGTCGCATACCATTAAGCCAATCAAAACGCTGGAAGTACATTTATTGTAATAAAACCATTTAGTCCTCTCATCTCTAGACAAGGGACTGGGTATTCGACGATACCAAACACTCCTGACGTCGTAGTTACCCACCATAATGGTCTGTTAGTGAACGCTGTATAGAGAAGAATTAAATGAGCAAGTGATAGACTGCTCCCTTGGCAGCAGTGGTCTTCTTCTGAAGCGCAAACACCGCCGTAGCGAGTCAAAAGCTCTCACCAATAGGTCTTTTCCGAGTTGCATTTTGCCTCTGCATAAAAACGAGTCAAAATAAATCGAGTCTTCGTGCCAAACCATTCATATGAAAATGTGTTCCGCCTGCAGGTTCTTTTTCATGGAAATCAAACTCATTTTCGTATGAAAGGTTTGCAAGAAGACTCGTTTTGAAACAGAGGCACGAGGTAACCTGGAAGCCTATTCTGCCACAATGAATGAGGGAATTTTAATATTTCGCCCGTCAAGTGTACATGTATCTTACAGTTTCTAATTTTCTAGGTGTTTTATCTTCTTTTTAGGTATACAGCCTATTACTTTCAATGGCAGTGTAAGCAGTGCAAATTTCACTTTCGTCTCAAAGGTCAATGTCAGCATAGATATGTCTCTAAGAGTGCGAACGAGGCAGTCCTCAACTGAGTTGATTGAAGTTCGTTCAGATTCCAGCAGATTCCTTAAGATGGAGCTCACTAATGGACAAGTGAACATAACCTTTGCTTTGGAAGGAGAAAGTGGGTTTATATTGTCAGGTAGGATCGTTGGTTTTGCTGAACCAAGTTATTACAAGATCATAATATTCCTACTGAAGGACCTGTTTGGACCATACGCGAAATGTGTTGTGTTTCAAACTTGGAAGACTGCTTCAATAACCCGAGCCATACTTTCGAATGAAAAAATCCAGCGACGCCATGTGGTCGGCTATCGTACAGAGGCTTAAAAGCTGGTCGTTTTTAAAAATTGACAAACATCAAATGATTTGTCGTTATGAAAAAGATCGTAGTCAGAATTATGGTTGGTAAACGGTGGAATATTTACATTGGTCTACTGTTCATGACCTAGGACATGCTTCAAAGAAAAAGCGAGTTTGTGACGAAATTCTTAATCTTGGAAATGAATTGACCTGAAAATGAAGCGTTTAGCGGTCGGATTACTCAGTACTACTATTCTTAGAAAATAAACTGTCAGTGAGAGGGGGCGTACTGTTGAGTTGTACTGAGTTAATCAATAGATACTGGGTTACATCTACGAGTATCAGTTGAGTATGGTGCGACCAAAGTTTGGTGACCAGGTTTTAACGTTCAACTTGTGTTGTTGTCACGGGCAACTGGCTCCGTTTCCAGTGGCAACTTGTCGGCCCTTAACGTCTTGTCGGCAAAGCGCGCGAAATTGCAGGCGACAATATTGTTACCATTAGAAATGAGGAAAGTTGTCCTTGGCAACACCGTAATAGTTCCGTCGCGCCTTAATCAACTGATAATCGTAGATGTAACCCAGTATATATTGATAAACTCAGTACAACTCAACAGTACGCCCATTCTCACTGACAGTTTATTCGTTGTTAATCGTGTCTTTTTATTTGCAGATGATCGAGTCAAAGTTAATGATGGCAAGTGGCACAGCGTCGTGTTCAACATCACAGGCAATCAGAGTTATGTGACTGTAGACGGTTCCAGTACATTTAATTCATCCAGACCTTCTAACGGAGGAATAACAAGTTTATTACTCGACACTCCAGTTGTGGTGGGCGGGTCAGTGTTTAAAGGATGCTTAGATAGCGTGCGCATTGGTGGCCTGCTACTTCCGTTTGTTGATTATTATAACAACACATTAAATGTTAGTCACGTGACTCCTTTAAAACCTCACTTCAATGTCACCACCACAGGCTTGCAGTCTGGTTGCCATGGTGATGATGTTTGCGGTCCAAAACCCTGTGAGCGGGGTTTGTGCAGTGATATTTGGAACCAATTCACTTGCACATGCCCAGAAGGATGGGCGGGGCTTATTTGTACCCTGAGAGCCAACATGACATGCGCACATTCGCCTTGCGTCAATGGCTCGTGCTACAATGCGACAGATGTTGACATGGCAACCAACCAGAGCCAAGTTAGTGACGTAGGATTTGACATGTTTCGCTGTAATTGTACTCCGGGATTTGAAGGAAAGCGGTGCGAGAACGCCACAGACGAATGTGTCCCTAATCCATGTCAAAATGGCGCCAACTGCACTGACTTATATCTTAACTATACCTGTACATGCGTCAGCGGCTACACTGGAAGGAACTGTGAAATAAACATTGACGACTGTGCCAGTAGCAACTGTACTAACAATTCTACTTGTAATGATGGAATCGACTCGTATAATTGTTCATGCCTGGAAGGTTTTAATGGAACTTTCTGTGAACTAGATATTGATGAATGTGATGTTATGAAGCCACACGGACCTTGCAATGCGACAGGAACAGTGAATTGTTCCAACACAGTCGGTGGCTTTGACTGCAATTGTAAACAAGGATATTTCGGTGAGTTTTGTGAGTATGACCCTACACAGTCTTGTGAGAAAAAAGTTCCGTTTCCGTGTCGTAATGGGGGAAATTGTTCAGATAATGAGACAGGTTTCTTCTGTTCATGTCCAGAGGGTTACAATGGCACATTTTGTGAGTTTGATATACGTGAATGTGACGCTGAGCCGTGTCTGAATAATGGAACATGCATTGACAGCCACGCTATCTCCTCTAGAACTTATTTCCCAGGCTATAAGTGTAACTGCACGGTTGATTATACAGGGGATCAATGCGAAAAGGAAATCAACCTGTGCGATGGCGAACCTTGTAAAAACAATGCAACGTGCAAGAGATTAGCGTACAACGAGTACCAATGTAATTGTACAGCCGAGTACAAAGGAGAAAACTGTACAATCTTCCAGCCATGTTACAGCAGGCCCTGCAAGAATGGAGCTACATGTCACGAAACTTACGAACCTGTTAGTAACTACACCTGCACATGCGCACTAGGATTTTACGGCAGGGACTGCGAAAACATTACAGACTACTGTTCACCAGACCCCTGCAGGAACAACGCGACTTGTGTGAACTTGAACACGCAAGGGAAGTATTTCTGCAACTGCACAGAAGGGTTTGGTAATGTGAATTGTAGTGGGCTGTTGAAGCATTGCAGACCCGATCCATGCGTTAATGGAACGTGTATTCCATTAATGCACACTTATCAATGCCAGTGTGTTCCAGGTTATACCGGAAACACTTGCGAGGAATCCATAAACAAATGCCAACCGAATCCCTGTCAACACGATGGCCAGTGTTCACAATCTTCGAATTCAGTTAGCTGTGCTTGTACAACTGGTTGGATCGGCAAAACGTGCCAGTTTGAAGATCCTTGCATAAACAGTCAGTGTGAGAACGGTGCTACTTGTGAAATCATCGAACAGTTTGGGAACTTCTCTTGTGTTTGTCCTGAGTACTTCACTGGAGAGGTGTGTGAAACGTCTCTTGAACCAACTGATCCTGGAGAAAGGACCAGTGGTACTCCAGCGATTCTCATTGGTGGAATAGTAGCAGCATGTGTGCTCGCCTTATTGCTTTTGATTCTGCTGCTGGTGGTAGTAAGGAAGCGAGCGGGTAATGGTACATACAGCCCCAGTAAGGAAGAAGTAGAAGCTGGACGAGTTGAGATGGATTCCGTGTTGAAACCTCCTCCACAAGAAAGACTCATATGATCTCACTCACGGGCATTCATCTCTGGGAGACCTGCCAGCATTTCGCGGCGTTCTCTGGTGCAACGTTCTCCCTGTGAAATATTTTCCCCGTGCGTGATAAGGGGTGGACCATTTGACTTTTAAGGGTGGGGGGGGAGGGGGGGCGGGGCTGATGTTGAAAAAATTATCCTGCAAACATACTTGTACCCAAAAAATTAATACACACGACCACTGCTGACAAAAACGTTCACGCAGTGAGTCGAAAAAGAAGCTTGTTATACACACGTTCCGAGAAAAAATTTCCTATTGCATAAAAGGGTTTAAAAAAAAATTCGTGCTTGTTACAAATCACTCACAACCCCCCTCAAAAGTAAAATGGTGCACGGCTAATTTCCCGTTTGTAGTGAACGTTGGACTGTTATCCCAAAATAGTAACTTCCTTGTCAATAAAGCACTTCCTAAAACGATTTAACGCGAGAAAAAATAATCAATGAAAGGGTAGCGTTTTCTTTCGCGTGTATTTGGATCGTAATTAAATAGGATATACAACCAGATTTGAATATACAACCAGGTATACAACCAGATCTGACTGGCTGTTATACCGTGCGGATATTGTAAGCTCTGTAGGAATTGCTTAATTTCTGTTTGTTCGTTCCTCTCTTTAACAATTCTTAGAGAGTGAATTGGCATGCTCTGTTCAATTTGTTTTAACGACAAGCAAAAGAGGAGGTTTTCTAGGGGGTTTGTATAAGATGAGGGAAATTTTAGAAGTGTACCATTCGGATTTTTATTTAAGGTAATCTAGTGTATATAAATGCTTAATCGAGTTAAGAGTAATTTTAAGCTGATTTCAGTACAACTACAGAAGGATTTTTGATGAAGCGCTGTAATCTTTTGTAAATAAAAGTCCGGTAGACCATGTGCTTTTCAATTGACGTCTTAGGAATTAACAGTAGTATTATATACTTTTGAAATAAATATGGCTGGACATGAAGACTTTTTAACTTTTTCGTTGGCCATTCCTTGTTTAAAATTACTCGTCGAGACTAAAGCAGTTTCCACTAGGAAAACCAAAACCAAGTTAATCAATTTAGCCAGTCATAAAAGACAGTCAATCCAAGTAAACCAATCAAAACTCAAAGCGAATACGTGTAGATGGCGCGAAGCACGGGAAAATATGTGCACGTCAGTTCACGATATGAGATAGTTGCGCGGGTTTCTAAAACAAAAGCGCAAAGCATAGAGATGCAGAACCAGCGCAAACGCGAATTACCTCTGACAGTCCAGTAACGGCCGCTGGTTTTTGCGTAGTGACTTGATTGTCGAATGTATTTCGCGTTTGTTTTGGTTTTGCATTTCTACGTTTAGTGATTGGTTTGATAAACCCGCGTCACTTCCTTAGTAGTTCATCTAAGGGAGACCTTTCAGCATTTCCTGTCTATAGGTTGTAATTGCAGTTTTTAGTCTGGATTTCACCCTTAGTTAGTTGCGGTGTAACTCAAAAAAAAAAAAAAAAAAAAACGGCGTTCGGGAGAAGCAGAGAGGGGGTGCGAGGAGCTCACCCGCTCCACAGTCCACGCTTTTTCGCACTCTGCCATTAGCCGAAAGCCTGGAAGAGGTTAGACTTTACTCAGCCAGCATGGTTATATGGGCTAATAGTTTCCCCTGGAAATTTCATTTTTTAAAAAATAAACTGGTATGTAAGCTTTCAAACTTCATTCTCGGGCTTGTAGTTGTTTTAAGAACGGGAGTAAAATTGAATTCCTTTGACATCACCTAACGCTACGCGCAAAGCACACGGACAAGCGACTATTTCAACACGCTGCGCTGACCATCATTGCGGGAGTTGTTCTGCCTTTTTGAATTAAAAAAGCTTCCCTGGCCTTACGGATAGAGTCTCGGTTAGAAACGAATTGATCCTAATGGTCTGAACATCCGCGAAGAAACATATTAATTGTTTCCATTTGTTTTCTTTTATTATGTTCTTTTATCATGTTATTTTATTTTACCGTATGCTTATCTTCAATTTACACTATCAATTACTTTTGCGTATTTCCGGTATTACGTAAATATCGGCTACATAAAAACACGAACCAATGTAAAATCTTCCATTGTACCTGAAGAAGGCTGGTTTGGCCAGCCGAAATATAGTACACCTTCAAAAAATCATTCTACGTTGTGTCGGTTTTTGCTTTTGTATTCTTCATTTTATATGTAAAGCCGATTAGATCACTATTGATCCAACGTATACCAGCAGGATCATCGTTTCAGTTGCTTGCTTAAACATTTTGTACGATAATGAATGTTCTCATACACCACGTACCTAACCAGTGACCCCTGCTTGCTGCTGACCAGTGCTGTCCGTGGCCTGTTATTGCGGGCTCGTCTCATGACAGTCACGCGAGTTTTTGCGTTCTTCCGTTTTCTCGTGCACGGTTTGTGTAAAATCTTTTCCATTCATCCGCTACTGAACACGCTCAGACGAAGAAGGATGGCTTCCGAAAGTTTTGTAGTAGTTTTTAAGGCTGGCGGCTATGCAGTGTATGTTCTTTTTCTCCTGCTTAGTGCGTATTTGCTGAACCAACTCGACAGGTATGCTTTGGCAGTTTCCTCGCAACCGATGGCACATGACATTAAGTTTGGTGATAAAGGCTGCTTGCCTTACAACTCAACGTTTTCCTCTGAATACAAAGACTTCTGTGTGAAAAGTACCAAAGACAGCAATGAGCCGGAGAGGAACAAATCAGCGTAAGTATTAATTTTGATGTGAAGGCGTCGTGCTTAAATCACTGCTGTAAAATAGGCTTACAATGTAAGATGGAAGCTTAGACTATTTTCAAACGCTACATTAACATACCTACAATCAACCAACAGAAAAAAAGCGTATAAAAGTTAAGCCGACAACTCTGTTGAAAGCCAGAATTTACGAGGCAAAAAAGTAATAAAATACACATTTATCACGCGATATTTTTTCTTTACATTATTACGTAACATCTCCACAGGATTTCGAAACTGCAAAGACACCTCTGACTATGCGATAGTTCCATAAGATGTCATTGCATCAAACAGTTTCGTCATGTATATCATACAGATATATTGGAAAGGTTTTATATCTTTAAAAGGCTAAGCAAATTGCACTACACAGTGGAAAATATTGATTACAGATAAAATACACCCCTAATTTTACCATGATTTTAAAGAAACATGTAGCATTGTGTACATTACTGACGAAATGTCCAACTGTACTTAGGCCTGCCAGTTTCTGTAAGCAGTTCAGGGTACAGATACAGGCTTCACCTCCATCACACCTTTGTGCTCCCCCTCCCACCCTTTCCTCTCCTCACCGTGCAATGGTCATTACCAGCCTTAGTGACATGAATTCCTTTGATTGTTTTTCAGATGTGAGTGGAAAAAAGCCAAAACCTCAAGCCAACATGTGTGTGTTTGGGATTATGATGGGACAGGAAGTGATTATCAGATCCTTGCTGGTCCTGTCTTCATTCTTGTTTACACTGTCAGTGGTATTCCTCTTGGGTTTTGTGCTGGTGTTTTTCATCGTAGAAATCTGATTGTTTTCTGCCTCTTACTGTGGAGTGCCATGACACTGCTGACAGGTTTTGCAACCAAGTACTGGCACTTAGTTGTTACAAGATTTGTTCTTGGGATTGGGTGAGTGTGGCCAGACATCAGATGAGTATATACTGTGTTATATATACTGGTAAATAAATAAACTTATCACATCATAAGTTATCGGAAGTTTAGTCCTTTTAGCATTCCAGCTTGAGGTAAAAGTCTGTGCTATCCAAGAAATGAGCAGTGCCAAGTGACTTGTCATTACTAACAACGACAATTTTCATTAATAATCATAAAGAAAGTAATTGCTGCAAACTGCAAACAGCTAAAATAATGTTTTAAGATTACATGGAAGAAAAATAAAGATAAAGACTCACAATGTACCTGACATTACAAATCAAGAGAAAGCAGTACAAGAGCGAAACGAAGAAAGACCACCCTGAAGGCAAAAACAAAATAACCATGTAAAAGAAAGAAAAAAAGAGAGGGAAAATCCTCTACATGTGGGTGTTAAGCTACTAATGGCAAAATAATTGATGAAACAGATGATTTCTACTTTTCCAAGATGTAGGGAGGCGGGTGGCCTCATGGTTAGTGCACTCACCTCTGGATTTGAGCGGTCCAGGTTTGAGCCCTGGTTGGGAACATTGTTTTGTGTGGCTCAAGACACTTAACTCTCACAGTGCCTCTCTCCACCCAGGTCTATAAATGGGTACCAGTGATTTTAATACTGGGGGTAATGTTGCGATGAACCTATCCAGGGGGGAGTAGAAATAAAGGTGGAGGAGTTGGTGTTTTAATAGTTGTAATGACACTAAAGGGGAGGAGGTAGTACACTTAAGCAAGGACATATAGTGCATGCTACATTCTATGGCATACTGTATGATGTATATTTATAAACATTTTTACAGAGAGGCTGGCTGCACTCCATTTGCTACCAGTTTAATAGCTGACTATTTTCCTGAGGTAAGTGTATATTAGTAACCTGCATAGCTGAGAAGAGCTACATGTAACGGATTGCACAGCATGACTTGTCAGAAAAGTTGACTTTACAGTTCACCAGACAGGTCTGTTGAACCCGCTAGCCAGAATAATTTTTTGCCAGAAAACTGGAAAGAAAACTATTTAAGATCCTAAGATGACACTCAAATTCCTATCAGTCTATCACACACTGCACCAACACCTATCCTTGACCTGTTAACATGTTTGCATTGAGATTCCACGTTGATGATTAGTTTGTATTTTTGTATTTTTGTTAGACATTACGAGGATCGGCCCTTGGTGTTTACAACTGGGGAATCTATATTGGTTATAGCATGGCTTATGCATTCGGTAACTTTATTACACAAGCGGATATTGATGGCAAAGGATGGAGATGGGTGTTTTGGATTGCTGCTATGCCTGGCTTTGTTCTAGGACTCCTCATGCTGTTCACACTGAAGGAGCCAGCAAGGAGTGAGAAACCGGATGTGCAGGTAATATTCCGGTAGTGCCAACACTTAAAACTTACATACTATTCAGGTCAAAAACTACACTTACAGGTAATCTTCAGTTGAGAAACTACAGAACAATACAGTTAAAGCTCATTAAGTTATACATGTAAAGACAAGGTCACCCAACAGATCATTTTGATTTAATATATGTGCGTAAGGCCTCTAATCCCCCTCAAATTTATTAATATGGGAAGTCTAACGCGAGAAAAAAAGGTTGTTTCAGATAGCTAGATGGATACATGTAGATAGTTTTATTAAGTAAAATCATTGCAGCCCCCGAAGCGGCTGAACACCCGCCTTTCAGCTTATCTGACCCCGCTACAATTGAAGTTCACTTGAAAGAAAGAGCTCATATGAAGCAAACTGGGGTCACTATCAAAGCAAGGGATTTATGCCCTAGTAAGCGCCAAGCAATGAACACCTATTTAGTAGCGGCAAGAGAAAAGCGGTGGATGTGGGCGCCATGACTAGTGGAGATGTGCGCGGAAAATGTCTCACACCTGGAACAGCTTATGATAACAAGTCTTGGTCGCATCCTCCCCATTCAATCTTGAAGA